CTGCCTGCCGGCAGCTCCGCTGCCCCGTCGGGCCGGGATCGCTGTGGTCCTCCTGCCCGATGTTTCACCTGGCACCACGTGCTCCTCCGTAACGCTGTCTGAGAATTGCCTTTATTCATGAAACTTCTCCTAGGGGAAGTACTTTTCTCTCTTTTTTCTGTTTTTAAGACCTTCTTTCCCCTCTTCGCTGATGCAGGATTTGGAAGTGGAGTTCCTGGAGAATGACCCTGGCAATGAACGCAGGTTTCCCTTAAAGCTGAGACTGTTTCTTATTCCCTAGGAAACTGACGAAAGAGGGGACCCCGGATGTCAGCCCGATCTCCGTTTTTATTTGTCTCGACTTTGAGGCAGATTTTCTCTTTCAGCTTTGGGAGCTGACAGGTACAATTCCCGTAGGCACCTTTGCATGAAACAAGACCAAGGCCAAGAAGTTGATTTGTCATTGCTTTTCCTAGTTAGCCAGCAGTATGTCCTTCTATTAATTGCTATTAGTAAGTTAACCTTGTAGCTCAGTTATTGAATAATCATTAATCCATGGAGGATACACAAGCCCAAAGGTTAATAATAGGAATAGCAATTAATAATATTGACCTTGCCAGTGGGGAGAGTATTTTTGTCGCAGTTATTAAAAGGTACTACTATTTATACTAGGTACAGTGGTGCAAATTTGGACTCAATATGTTGAATACCAAATTACTTCAACAACACCAGAAATTAATTCACTCCTTTATCCATGTTATCAGTCCTCTGACTTTTTCTCAGTTTAAAACGTATCATCCCCTACTCTCTCATTTTAAATAGAAATGCTAGGTCTTTAATCAATTCTGACATTTCCACTAGAAAATAACATTGAGCTCACTTACACAGATAAAAATTTATTTGCCTGCAGCTGATTTGTTGTAGTGCTTTGGACCTATTCATTTCTCAGAGAGGACTTAGCTTTTTATGGTCTTTTGATATCATGGGGTAATAAATAGGAGATCAGTACAAAGGGAACATTCTCTCTTTTATAGGTCCAACTCTCCACTCACTAGAGTTGCCTCCTTGCAGAGCTACTCTGACTGACTGACTGACTGACTAACCTACATCCTTCTATTGTCAAAGACCCATCTCCTTTATTTGTATCACATTTCTGACTGGCTGGTCAGTAAGCCCTAATAATAATCATGTTTCATGTCTCAGAAATCTAATAATCAAGTTACTCATTGCTACAAATTGCAGCTAAGCTATTTGGGTTAGTCACGTTATCCCCACTTTAAAGGCAGAGAAACTGAAACAGGAAAATTAACACATTTGCCTGAGGCTACACATGGATTTGAGACCAGATCCAGAACTGGAACTGAGTTTAGATCAAGCTCCCTCTTAAAGATCCTCAAATGCACTATGGAAAATCCTTCATTAAAATCGAAATGTAACATAAACCTTATTTTCCATCAACTTTGTATATTAGTCAAAATATACACCCTTTTTAAGGTCACATTTTGTTTTTAAAAGATAAGGTTTATTCAGGTTATAAAAAAACAAACTGTGGTGATACTTTTCAACTATATCAGACAGTTTACTTTGGAAACAAATATTTAATACCAGACTGTGAGCAGTAATGGGAATAGAATTGCTTGTTGTTAGGCTACTGTGAACAATATTAGCTGAATGTTATGGTATTGTTACAAACCAACAAACTATGACGGGAAGTCCAGGATTAGTATAGATAAGGCTCTCTTGAATACCTAGTGTGCACTGGTTTTCACCATAATGCTCCTTCAGTGTTTTCAGTATCCAAATACCTGGCATGAGTCTAATCACTGAAAAACGTATGGAACAACCATATACTGTGTTTGAGAGTTATGATTTCTATCATTAAGCAGTGAGTTTTACCAAGTTTTGTCATTCATATCACTGGAGCAGGACATATATTGCCTGTCCTTTAGCTGTGGCATGTCATCAAAGCTATTTGGTATGACTGAGCACAGATGGCATGCCTAAAAACCAGGTATACAATGTAACTTTCCTATTACTGACACGTAGATATTTCCTCTTCCTCAATTTCCCCCCCTAGATGTTTGCTTGCCCAGCCTTCTACAGGAACTATAGAAAGTCCTGTTCATCCTGCTCATCCCTGATGTCTGGAATTGTGGAGTTGAAACCCTATACAGAATAAGCGTTCACATTCTTTTTTAATTATTTTTTTTATTTATGCTGACAGCTCCTTTCTGAGCATTTTTAGAGTCCTGATTTGAGGGAAGTGGGTGCAGATCTCATTCAAATAGTCATTCTCCAATACCATTAGCATTACCTGCCAAAAATGAAAGTGGCATATGAATCACAATAAGCCACTCATGAATTTGTGGATTTAGAACCTGCCAAGGAACAACACATACACACACGATTTCAAAGACCCATCAGTTTTCGGTACTTCCAGCAGTGCATAAAAGTACATTTATCCAAAGACCATCTTATTGATGGCACATTCTATAAGGTCTACAGACATAACTGATTCCAGGGAAAGATAATAATAACCGAAAATATTTCTGTTCCAGTCTTTCTTTTACAAGTGAGGTAGTGAAAGTGATGAATCTGCTAATCATAACCATGTCAGAGGCCTTTCCAATAAGAGCTGCCCCTTATTGAAGTGCTACTGTGACATAATGATGTGTTGCTTTTCTGTGAGAAGAGCTTTAGAATCCACTGGGAAATATCACAGTTGCTTTCCAGTTCCTTTCAGACATGTAAATACCTTTATGTTTAGACATGAGTACAGAGGGGTGGAAAGTGAAGTTCAGTGAGGAGTAGAGTGGGGTTAAAAGCATCCACATGGATCCAGGAACCAAATACATACATATGTGGACTTTCTTCTGTATCTGATATTACCTAGGGCTTGAAATGAAAATGTTCATTATCAAGAAGAAATGCTTAAGGAACATGTGCCTACTTGAGAGTTATGTTGACCCATGGTTGACAGAGAAGGCCATCTTCTGCCTGAAATTGCACATGAGCAACAGAACTCTCAGTAGTGCTCAGATACTTGTGTCGTTCCCAAGTTATATGTACATTATCGAGTATGGTTTATTTCCAGCATGTAGTGTGTGGATAATGCTATATCAGTGAAAATCACCACATGCCACCTATCATTCTTTACAATTGCTCGCTTTCATCATGGTTTGCTTAAGCTGAGCACATCAGAAACTGAAAATAACATTTGGGTATTTTTTCCTTCTTAGCATACAAAAACTCCAGCCTATGTTTTGAAAACTATTTATATGCTATTATTTGTGAAACCTTGCAAAGAAACCTGCATGTTGGCATGGAGTACACATGAATGTCTCAGCAGCTTGACGAAATGTTAAGACTTGGTTTGAACTGTGTTCCAACCAGTTATAAATGTTATCTGTTGTAGATGAAAATGGTAATCAACAGATAGAACCCTGCTGAAGTAGCCTTGTGTGCATATCTTAAATGCAAGTGGCCATTACCAGCTGTACCACAACCTTTTCTCATGTTTCATCTTGCAAGTGGCTCAGTGGAAGATAGTCAGATGTCTTTTTCTGAATATGTCTTTAGTGCATTTCTGCAGTCTGTTGGTTATTCTACTCTGTGTTGGTTAGACACCAATCTCTTGAGCTCAGGCCTATATCACCTTGCTACTTGAGTGTTTGTTCTGAAAATTTCTTTACTGAAGTGGGCATCATGTCAATAATAACATATTAATCTATCTCCAGACTGGCTTAAGTTCTCTCCAATCATACAGTGAAGGCCCATGTTTCCAGGCCCTTATACTACACTGTACCTCAGTCCATTCGACCTCTCTCCAACATGGTACTGCTCCAACTGCTTTTTCATCCACATCTCTGTTACAGGAGATCTTTGGATTGCCTAAAAAAGTAAAGTGCATCCTGTATATTTCCTCGTAAAACTTTGCTTTTTGGAAAAGAAGATCAGCTTTTTGCAGGTGCATCAGTGATGTCAGACTCACTTCTGTTTTGCCTGGCTGCTGTCTCCCTCTTCCACAAGTCTAAAAGTACCATTTTTTAAAGGATTGAAGGAGATAATATTAACATGAGTGTAACCACTTATCCTGCACATTGTCTGTTCTTTTCTCCTTCCACTTGGTGTCTGGTTTGTCTTGGCTGCTTTTAAAAATTCTGCTGCCTCTATTGAGAGACTGCCAGATTAAACCAGCGAAGAGAAACCAGGTGACTGTCTACTTTTATGAATATAGGTTGTGTATAATAAATTCCGGTTTTACATCTATGCAAATTAAATCATCATATGATTCTGACTACATGCATTTTTTATCAAATATGGCATATATTTCACAAATTATATTTAACTTGTAGTCATGTTGCAATTTTGAATACCTAACTAGGAGTTACAAGGTGTGCCACTAAATCTTAGTAAATAGGTTTACAAACCCAGAAGAAACAGAAGATCTTTAGCTTTTTTTCTTGTATTCATGTTAAATCTGGTGAAAAAGCTTTTCCTGCTATAGGTGATAATATAAATGCCTCACTACTATGCTGTTTAGAGACAAAAGTACACTTAGTTTATAGAAATGTAGAGATTTTGTAAGGGCCTAAACAGAATGTGCCCAGAATAAGGAAGTTTCAGAGAAACATGCTTTTGGTCTGGAGTTAGTGAGGCCTTTTATTAATGTTTCTTGTCACAGAGTAGAAGACATCAGTCACAATGTCAAAATAAACATTTTACTTCTGCAAAATTATATTTTTACTTCAGGAAAATAGGATTTAGCATAATTCTTCCTGTGGACAGACAGGGCAGTTTTAGTGTCAAGCTCTAAGCCTTGCAATATGATTCCCAACCATAGGTGCACCAGACTTTGAATAATCAGTCTGTCAGATGAGCTATGACAGGCATTATGCTGTAAAGATAGCCCCTCAATGCTTTTAATGTTAATAATTTTCAGTAACTGCTGCTGCTTTTTCCTAAATAAAAAGATATTTTGTTGACCACAAAGATGTCTCTGTCAATACTTGTCTTTCAGTCAATAAAAGGATCTGGATGGGTTGAAATGTGGGAATCGGGTGGAATTCAAACATATGAACAAACAGCTGTGATTCACAAAACCTCTTCTAAGAAGTTGCCTAAACCTCAAAACACTGGATTTGCCTTAGAGTTAGTTCCTTTCCCACCTGGGACTCCTAAGTGGCCATTCAGGACTGTTCATGCCCACCCAAGTCCTCTAGACCTGCAATATTCTTCTGCTCGAGTGTCTTGGTTAGCTTGGCCTCCTGGTTACT